TCGCCATTTTCACAATCTGCACTTTACAATACAAACCACATCGTGCACAGTGGAAAAGCAATCCAAATGAAATCGGCAGCTCATAGTCTGATGCTTAGTAACGGAACCATAGTTCCAGCCAACATGGGAAGAATATTCAGACTAACTTTTATTTTTAGAAGCGAACGGCAGCTCATAGTCATTATCCTGGGTGACGGAACCATATCCTTCCAGTTAACATATGGTGGAAGAATATTCAGCGGCTAACTTTTATTTTCATATGCCACACTGAACACAGATTGACTGTAACATTCCTATTCAGTTGTTGTTATCAGCGGCGCATAAATGCCATGTTGGAATTTGCATTTTTCAGAAGCGTACAAGGTGTTCCACTTGTCTGGTCTCGGAGGGAGTAGCGTTCTTCTTGCTCACCGAGTTCTAAAAGAGATGGTGTTCAACAGTTTCGTAGGGGTAATACTGGCACTGCCTATACACAGATTGACTGTTACATTCCTTTTACAGAAAGTTCTGATCATATTTCTTATGTCATCCTGTTTGCTAATAATATTACTTGCATTATTTCTTGACTTTGTCTTTATTAAAATTGTTATTTTTATGACATTTTCATTTTTAGATCTTTGACAATGAATCATGTGACTTTTGGTTTAAAAAAATGAATTCCAGTAAGATTGTATTTTGTCATTTATTAAATATTCTGCAGGATTATAGAAATGTGTTTTTTTTTTTTTTAAACAAGTGTTTACCTGTTATACTTTCAGTTTAGGTTTCACTAAAACATGTCCAGAGGTGTACTAGTTTTGACTCAGTGTGTGGCAGCAACCCCCTGGCGTATTAAATTTATAAGCATTGCTCTAATTTTCCAAATGTATACTGTTACCATTATATTTACATTATGGAGTACAAATTGTATTGCTTTCATTTCTTGCAGTAAATGCAGCATACTTTTTGAGCACAAGAGATTTTTTAATTTTAATTTTAGTTTTTAATTGTAAGATGTGATAATCAAAAAACGTTATTTTATGCAGTGGAGGATGACTTTTATTTACGTAGGACAGCATGGTATTTAAGAAAATATAACAATTTTATAATAATGAACAGAGTATCTGGGAATTGTTCTGCTGGATTTATGATGATGATGATGATGTTGTTCAACCCTACCAGGACATCACACCAACAGATAAACACCTGGTGACGTGAAGTGCCACCATGCGGTTAAGGATCACCTGGGAACAGGTCCCAGAAACCCTGTCCAGCCCATTGGTTGAGTTATATTAGGGCCCTGGCAACAGCCAGGGTGGGGTTTTGAAACAACGAAAGATTTGCATCCGCCATTGGGGCACTACGGAGACAGAGGCAATGGTGATAAGAAGACAGAAAGACAGTTTAGAAATAAAATTAAAAAAACAACGCCTTAAGACAAACAGAGGAATTCAAGTATTTGAGAACAATTTTCAAATGCGATGGAAAAACTGGACAGAGAAATTAGCTTCAGATGTGCCAAAGCTAATCAAGTAATGGGGCAACTATCTCCCCTGTTGACACAGAAGCAGATACCTCGGAATACCAAAGTGAATCTTATAAGAACTATTTTTTGGCCAACACCATGCTATCAGTGCTAGATATGGATACTTATCCTCTTATGAACGTAAAATTGTGACAAAAGAGATGAAATGCCTAAGAAGAGCTGCAAGAGTTTCAAGGAAAGACAATACGAAATCAAGAAATCATGAATAAAGCCAGTCTTACAGGTCATCAAGGAATAACAAATGTAGTGGTTTGGACATCTAATAAGAATGCCCTGGTACTATCTACCATAGCAAGCCACACTGAAACGTTACAACGGGTATAGAGTAAAGCGGAAGACCTCGCAAAAGATGGAGTGATTGCATTAAGAGCAGCCTTACAGAAATGAACATAAATCTTAATAGTGCTCTTGACAGACCTCATCAACAAATGTTACATCTTCCCCCGACACTTCACTGGGCTACAAGGTGGAAGAGAGGAAGAAGAAGACATTGGGACACAGGTTGAATAACTGCTGGACTGATATCTAAAATGTGGGTAAAACTGTCAGGAAGCAGTACTGAAGAGAGAATATATTTTTTTTTAATGTTTGTAGTGACGAGGCAGACCAAGAAGACAATGGAAAAATAATATCTAGACACACCCTACAACACCAATTGGAAAGAGAATTCCAGCCAAAGAGATGAATAGAGGCGGATGCTATCTGCAGCAGTGAACCTGAAGGGCTCAGAGTGCTGAAGAAAGAAAAAAAAGAAGAAGGAGAGGATATAGTGATGTTGACTTTAGTGAAAGGAATTTGAATTAAGGTTATTCAGTTGTGTTGATTTGTATAAAAAATTTTGAGCCTGCTGCTGCACCATAAGTCTTGATTTGTGACTGCCAAATTACTGATTATTGGAAACTTTGCTGGTCTTCTCTAGACTTCCATAATGATTTCAGTCTTGTTGATTGTTTTTTTTTTGTAGGAGGCATGTTTGAACTTTCTCTTTATTAATTAATTTTAGCTAACATATTCGTTTATGCATATTTAGTAAAAGTTATATAATATAGAATAATACTTTCTCTTTCTGCTCAGGCAAAAGCACCAGGACATTTTTCATCATGACAAATGGGGGCATGACCTTAGTAAGCCCAGGCAGGTAAGAGACTGAAAATGGTTCTGATCAATTAATCACATTTCCAACTTCATTGCAGATGAGTCACCCCAAGTAGCTCAGTTTCTGGGCCAACGAAAACCACAGAGAACATTCTTCACTGTCCCTTAATAGAAAAATTGACACAGACTGCAGTCTCAGCAAAGCTGATAACATATACATGCATCAGATGCATACGGCAGCCTTCAGAAGTGCCAACACAAACCGTCCGGCACTAGAAATGCAGTTCATCGATGATTGAAGTGGCAGTTACAACAAGTCAGTAGTTGCACATACAGCTGATGCTTAAGGCACCAACATTTCTCTAGCTACAGGCCACTCACCATTTTCTGAATCTGCAGTTCACATCTCAAACCACACTGGGCACAGTTGAAACACATCTGCAGCTCACAGTTCCGTGCCCTGCACTCAGCTTAGTAACTGGGGGATAGAACTATAGAAAAATACAATGGCTGACTATTGTCAACAGCAAAAACATGCTGCCACTAAAAACAGCAAGTCCGCCTATCTGCCATATTGACCAGAACCTATAATAGTCTATGCTATGTAATCTTGGTAATAATATCTGTCCACAGCCTTCTCTATTTGTTCTTCAGTCATTTCTGATATAGGTGTTCTTCAGTGCCATGATGTCACCCTGTGCAACATCTTCTCTCTTTGTTTTCCTCTGTTCCCTTTCAAAATTTTCTTTGTCAAGACATACCCCAGCTCTTCCCTTCTCACGACAGCCTCAAAGAATGTACACTGTCAAGATCTGATGTAATTTATTCAGTTTTTTGAGTGTAAGGATGAGTTCACCCTGATCATGTTAATTTAAATTATTGCCCTTTTACATTTATCTCCCCCTGTGAAGTGCATCGGCTCTGGCTAAGTCGATGCGAACGCTTCATAATGACGGGATGCCGGGTTCGGTTCCAGCTGCGGGCCATGTGCCTTGCGTTGGTTTTGACAGTGGTATCAGGGGGCCGACCATCCAGAAAGCAATGGCAAACTACTGGACATAAATTTGCCTAGAAAAACCACACAACAGCTGTTGGGGCTGGTTCTGCAACGTCCTGTAAAGGATATGCAACTAATGTGCAAAGTGCTTTTTTTTTTAGATCAGCATTTACAGTTGTCGGTTCTGTGGCTAAGTCGATGTGAACGCTTCGTAGTGCCGAGATGCCGGGTTCGATCCCAGATACGGGCCATGCGCCTTGCGTTGGTTTCGACAGTGGTATCAAGAAAGCCGACCGTCCGGAAAGCAATGGCAAACTACTGGACGTAAATTGCCCAGAAAAACCACACAACAGCCAGGGGCTGTTGGGGTTTAATCTGCAACATCCTGATGTATTTACAGTTACATGCTATTGTATATATTTTTTTAAATAATTTCTTATGAAGAGCTCTCAAAGTTCTCTTTCATGTATTATTCATTCTTGGTAGAAAAATAATAGGAAGTATGAATGTCTACGAAATATTTAATGAATTGCTTGAATCTTGTATTTGTATTTAGACATACAAAATCACCATGTGTGTTCTATAGCACTGTTATGGAGGAAAAAAAGGATAGACCCACTGCCTTCCCAGCAAGCATGTCATAGGAGTTGACTGATTGGAGGCTTTCTTGGAAGTCGGATTGTATCTGCCAGAGCGGCAAGGAATAGCCGACTGTACACAAATAAGCCAGTAAAAGGGATGTATACGCAACACTCAGACCCTGGCACAAAGCTAAAGTCCAAATGGACGAACAACCAGAACTTTCACCAGAGCTTATAGGCAGTGAATAAAGAAGAAGATGAAGACATTGAAAAAATAATTATATTAAAAAAAAAAATTAAAATGTCCTTTACAGGATGTTGCAGAACAAACCCCAGAATTGTTTAGCTGTTGATGATTTCACTGAGAAGAGAAGTTATGAGAAGAGGGAAAATAGAACATGTTGTGATGATTGGAAAGATCTGTGGAAGGAGGGATAGAGAAAGACAATGAGAGAAGATTCTTGACATTCTTGTTGCATGGCATGGAGGTGTGTCGGCACACGAACTGATACATGCTACAGGAGACCGCAGATTGTGGAGAGGCATGATCGCCCATGCCAGTCGGCAAAGCACCTGATGATGATGACGACGACGATTTCACTAGATACTTTTTACACTCATTAGTTTTGTCATTGCTTCCTGAATGGTTGACTTTTGATCCCACTGTCGAGACCAACTCAAGATGGTCTGCTGCCAGATTGTCTGCAGCTCAGATTGAACCAGGGCCTTTCGGGATGCCCTAACACATTCACATTGCTTAAACGGACATAGGTCTCAACAACTATTCATTTATTTCATGTAGTGAAGCTGACTACTTTAAAGGCCAGCGTGATTTGAGGAAGTCTTCTATTTTCAAACGGGCTCTTCGTACAACTAAGTGTATTTTTATGGCAGATTACACAAAAGGTGAGATTTTGTTTTACTTTTAAAAAAAAAATATTTCATGTATTATAAAAGTCTTTAATAGTATCATTGTTTACAGTTTGCACAGTGGCAAACATCGCTTTGGACGACCCAGGTAGTTTGTTTTCTTCTAGGTAATACCGGTGTGTTGGGAAATAAACAGACAACTAGACTGGCCGGTTCTGCACCACTTGGTGGTGAATTGATGTATGACAAGCTAGAAAATTCTCCATGGGGGTTCCGGGAACCAACCCATCAAGGTCAGGGGAGGGGATAAGCCAATTCCCCCCTATTACAATTGGTTGTGTGTCTTTTTACAGTACATTGCAGAACCAATCCCACAGTTTTTGCTGTTTGGTTTTACTAAGCAATTTTTATGTTCAGTAGTTTGCCATTTCCTCTGAATGGTCAGCTCTCGATACTTTTGTCAGAATCATTGCAAAGCGGTCTGATTCCAGATCACTCACTGCTGGAACCAGAGTGAGTAGCTCAGGCTTATGAGACTCAGTCTCAGTGCTTAAATCACAGATGCCAGTGCTTTCAGCGAACAAGTTGTAAAAGCAACTCATTCGGGATTTGTTGAAATCGATTGTGTGGGGCTGAAGACACCAAATATCATAGCCCATCTGTAAACCACAACACAACGTACCAACTGCTCTTTTAAGTGCTAATGCAGAACTAACCAGCTGTTTAAGTAGTCATATACTTGTTGGCATGCTGTTGTTTAAAGTTTCCCTTTTCCAGCTGACGAAATATGTTTAAGAATGTTTTGTCTGTCATCCCTTCAGGAGAGAGGCCCAAGACAGCAGAGACACCATATGTGATTACAGCGTGTGGCAGTTACATATCTCAGAAAAACAAACAGAACCAGAGCATAGTTGTTGACAAGCCAGCAGGTAAACACACCCTTGCAGACGTTTCAACTCTCTTAGAATTATGTGTGCAAGAAGGCTAACCTCGGCAACAATTGCTTGCTGAAGTCGGATGTTTCATTCCAAAGGCACAAATATTGCAGCTGTGTTGTAAGCTGGCACAACACATTTACGTCTTCAGGTGAACCCAGAAGAACAGTTGTGTTTACAAATAAGTAATCCCTGTGTGGGTTTCTGGACCTATTTTGGGGTGGGGGAGGGGGGATTAGACTCACCGCTCCCAACAAGCATGGCGTAGAAAGTGATTAATGAGGGATTATTTTTTAATTACATGTGTTGGATCGACAGGTGCAGATATAATAGTAAATCCCAACACTACATTTCAGTCACCCTTTTGAGAGTGAACAAAGAAGAAGAAGAAATCATTATTAAACCTTCAGTTGTAAAAAGTAAAGTAAAGATCCCTTGTCATGCCTTAGGCGCATTGGGTATATGGGAAGAGCATCCCATATTTTTACAGACCAATCGGCACTGGGTGGGTAATGTGGTCAGCATTACGCCAGCCTTTTTTACTTCCCCAGGACAGCCATCCAGGTACCCATTTTAGGCTGGGTCGACCTGCGATGCACCCATACCATACTGTGTTTAAAAACTTAATTAAAAAACTAATGTATAGGAAATGTGATGGGAAGGGACAGAGTTACCAACAAAGAACTAAGAGTGATAGTAGGTACATTACTGGTAAATGATTTCATAGAACATCAAGGAATGAAATGGTTTGGTCATCAGGTCAGTGTGTAACAAAATCAGCCAGCAGCGAGAGCGTATGCTTCATAAGAACAGCAGGCAGGGAAGAGGCTGACCAAGAAAGAGATGGAGGGGGAAAGTAAAAGAGACACTACAGAAACACAATATGACATTAACGCAAGCTACATATCCAGCAAAAGACAGAAAACTACATCAAACTCCTCTCTGTGACTTTATAGCGTAAGCAATAGGATAGAAGAAAAAGAAGATTTAAAAGTAATGTAAAGCATCCTTTTCATTCGATTGGCTTAACATGTATATGATGCTAGACCCATGTTTTTTGTATACTAAATTTTAACAGAAAGTCTGTGAAATAACATATTTTGAGAAGAAAAGGGCATTCCAGGCTATCAAACATGAACGAATCTGGCCAGTGATAGCTACCACTTACTTAACTGGCATGGGCAGGTCATCGTTCTACGCCTCAGGACAGGGCATAACAAGCTTTAACTTCATCCAAGTAGTTCACCATTGTTCTCATGTGGACTGTGTGTACAAACTGCAGAACATGTCCCACAAGTCTGTTCATTGTACTGCCCATTGAAAAGGGAATACCAGCCAACTGAGTCAACACTGTACTCAGAGTTGTAGGGAACGAAAAGGGAATACTAGCCAACTGAGTCAACACAGTACTCAGAGTTGTAGGGAACTAAAAGGGAATACCAGCCAACTGTGTCAACTCTATACTCAGAGTTGTAGGGAACTAAAAGGGAATACCAGGCAACTGTGTCAACACTGTACTCAGAGTTGTAGGGAACTAAAAGGGAATACCAGCCAACTGAGTCAACACTATACTCAGAGTTGTAGGGAACTAAAAGGGAATACCAGCTAACTGAGTCAACACTGTTCTCAGAGTTGTAGGGAACTAAAAGGGAATACCAGCCAACTGTGTCAACACTGTACTCAGAGTTGTAGGGAACTAAAAGGGAATACCAGCCAACTGAGTCAACACTGTACTCAGAGTTGTAGGGAACTAAAAGGGAATACCAGCCAACTGTGTCAACACTGTACTCAGAGTTGTAGGGAACTAAAGGGAATTCTAAAAGTGGTCAGTTTTCTCACAAGAATTTGCCTGTCTGTGTGAATCAGAAAGCAATCACAAGCACAAGAAATAGATTCATTGTATTAATAGGTAACATGGTCGGCATCACATTGTCAGTTTTTCCTTATCAGAATATCTCTTGGCACCTGAAAGGGTCGACCTGAAAACCTGTGTCATTGTTTTTTTAATCCCACTTAATGCGGAATCGAAGACAAGATTTTTAGGCTGGCAGACCGTCATCTAGCCAGTGCACTAACAAGGCTCCCAAAAGCCTAATTACTGAAATATTAATTCTTCTGAAATATCTAACTGATTTTGTGAAATAAATATTGCTTAATGAACAGAACACTGAATTAGAAATAGTGAAACTAAGAAAGTATTAATAAGACCAGCTGTCCTAAATGGCTCTGAAACCTGGAGTACATTCACAAGAGACTTAGCTTTATTAGAGAACAGTCTTATGATGAATCTTTGCACCCATCTGCCACAATAAAACCCCAAAAATATAGAACTTTGGTGGATGCGGAAGTCCACTGCAGTAAAAGTCTAACATGCAAAAGAAGCAAAATACTCATATGTGAAGGTAATCGAAATCCCACATCTGGAGGCTGCCTACTGCTGGCTTGTTAAGACGTACTGCATTATAAATTGAAAGAGAGGATTTAGAACCACATGGACTGTGCAGGTTAGGGTTTTATTTTTTGCCCCTGGCAGAAGAAATATACGACCTTACCAAGGATTTGAACCTGGGTCTCTTATATGAGAACCCAATGTTCTTAACTGTTTGACCAGCAGCTCTTCCATCAGAGATGCAGTAAGTAGAGAATGGAGAATGAGGGGCCACAATGACATTCATAATGTGTATAAATCACTGGCATAATGAGCATAGACTGCAGTGGCTGAGGCTTATAGAGAGAATAGCAGAAAACAGAGATGCACAAATTGTGTATACAAAAGAATTGAATGGGAGTAAACCAAAAGGCAGCCAAGAAGATGGTGGTGAGATCAAAAATGCAGGCTGATCTATGAACGCTTGGAGTTACCAGTTGAAAATGAAAGGCCAGTCACAGAGATGAATGAAGGCTGGTAATACATGCAACGATGAAACTTAATGACTTGAAATTGTGAAGAAGAAGAAGAAAAGAAATCAGATAATGTCATTCCAGATTTATACAGCGGGTGTTATATTGAAAAGTAGAACCCATAAAAAATGCATTTATGTCTTCTGATTATCTTATCTTCCTTCCATTTTATTTTCTTCTGTTCTCATCCACCTTGTTGTGTTAGTTTTCTGCTTGTAATCCAGCATATCCATGCTTGACACTTATAAGAATGTATGGGTATGAAAGAGTCACCATGGTGTAGCGGCTAGACGCTTGCCTGCGGATCAGAAAGTCATGGATTCAGGTCCTCCTGGTTTTTTTTTTTTTTTCCAAATGACCCAGTCTTCTAGGCGGACGCAGCCTTGAATGGGTAGCAGGTGGAGTCCTGGGAAGTAAAGGTGGCCGGCATGATTCTGACCACATCATACACCAAGTGCCGACTGGTCTGGAAAATATATAACTCTAGTCCTGTATGCACAATTATGACTAAAGGGCATAGTCTTCTTCTTCTTCAGCATTCCGAGCCCTTGAGGTTCATTGCTGCAAAATCACCCAGCTCCACTCATCTCTCTGGTTGGAAGGGCGTAATTACTTTTTTGTTTTTTTTTGTTTTTAACTTTGCGGGCATAAAAAAATGTATTGCCTGTTACACTTTCTCCAGAGAGGGATTTGTAGGTTTTTCAGCACATGAGATGGATTGGTAAACTGCTGCATTCACATTTGAACATTGTATTTGTTTCATTAATACAATCCTATCATGCACATTTGCAGGTTTATTGAGCTTTTTTTTTTATTATTAAAAACAAAGTCCTAACCTGCACAGTCTGTGGAGACAGTGCTAGCCCTTTGGTAATAAGCTTCAGGTTCAAAGACCCTCCTGCCTGCACAGAATGAGTGCTAAATACAGGCAGTAATTGCAGTTTTTGACTGAACTTATTGCCAGTTTCCCTTCACATTTAAGATGTTTTTTATTTACTTTAATTTCCTTTCAGGTATTTATATAACTCACAGAAATTGTTGAATCATTTGCACAATTTATAGTTTCTCTTTTTTTTTTCTTTGAGAGGGATTAATCTTTTTTTTTTTTTAAGCTAAAGGTGATTAAACTAGGGAATGTCTACGAAGTTGAAATAAGAGCTGCCTGTCACACAAGAAATCAACAGTTTGGTTACTTTATAAGATGTAATTTTATATTGATTGCAGAAACAAGCAAACAAATTATAAGGTCTGAAACGTAGACAATTTTAGCCAGATCTAATACCAAGGTGGATTGGAAAAATTAATAGCAGAAGGCATGGTACCAAGAAATAGGGGCAGGGACAGACCAACATAAAGATGGGCACAGGATATAAGTGTTGTCTTTGGTGGAAAGTGCATGAGGTGGGAGAACTGGTGAGAGACTTAGTTTCTTTTGAGCAGACCCTGGTGAGAGCCACCGTGTGCAAAGGACCTGCTATACGATAAACTATATAATAAACTCAAAAATGTGCCATCGTCTCTTGTCTACACAGTGGCTGGACAAAGATTAACTCATGAGGCTGTGATTGAGGCTGTCCTCAATGCCACTGAGTCAAGTCTGAAATACAAGACTTGCAAGGACAGCTCCCTGCTGTGTTACTTGGTGGATGATGGTGGTTTTTTAGTAGCTACTTCAGGGGAAAACTACAGGGAGCAGGTGAGTGCTGATGCATAGAGAGACAAGTCTCCATTGTTAACTCAGAAAATATGAACATTTGATTAGTTTTGTAAACTAAAAAAAACAATTTGAAGTCTTTGTTTCTTTGAACAAAGAAGACACAAACAATAGATTGCACAATTTATTGCTGGCATATTTCACTCTATCTTGTTAGGTGTACTACAGTAACAATTACATAAATTAAGCAGATACGTAAAATCTTTTATACCTGACGAGATACGGCGAAATGTGCCAGGCAATCAATTGTGCAGTCTTTGTTTCTGTTCTGTGAACTTTCTTTGTCTATACCTTATCATTTCCATCGACTGTAGGTTCTAGGACCCCATTAGGATGGGAAAAAAGAATAGATCCACTGCCCCCTCCACCGAACAAGCATGTCAGAAAAGGTGACTGATTAGGGGTGTCTCCGTCAAAGTCAAGAGTGCATCTTCCTGAGAGGCAAGGAAACGACAGACTGTATGCAGATAAGCCAGGACTGTTGAACAGATGTCCATGCAAAACCTAAGTTCTGGAACAAGATCACAGTCGACGAATAACCAGAATTTTCTACTGGAGTTTTCAGCCAAATCCCAGTCCCAGCGTAAGACGCAATTTTTGTGGGTTATTTAAAAGCTCCATCCCAGTTGACATCGAGGGCCCTGAATATAACCTCCTGGATGAACAGGGTTTCTGAGACTTGCACATAATGGTGGTACTTTGTGTCACCGCCTGTTTGTCCCTGGTTGTGCCTTCCTAGTGGGGTTAAAGGTCGGTCATTCAGTCAGCCGTTTACAGCCAATGAACACTACAAAGAAGAAGATGTCAGGTTATGATTGTCTCTCTGAACTTATCCTATGAGTGGGCAGTGTGCAAGGGTGCTGAAATCTGGAAAGGGGAGGGGGGGGGGAGTTAAGGTACTTTGAACTAACTCCTCCCCCATCCACCATCCCCAGAAAATTTTCTTTGTCAAGTTTGTTTTTTATTCAGATCCTGTTACTTCAGATTAATTTTTTTATTTGCCATTTATTACATTATTAATATTATTTAAGCACTTACTTAAACCAGGTTTAGCCCTTTGAGAATCTCTCTCTCCACTCCCTCCCACCCCCCCCCCCCCCCCCACCACACACACACACACACAAATGTGTGATGGTTTGAGTACACCCACCCTGCTGCCAGTGTTATCTTGGTATGACCGCCTTGCAACACAGTGTTTGATGCTTTCTGGTATTATGTTAATACATCATTTGTAGGTCTATTTAAAGAGGGTTTTCCTGACAAAGCAGTCAAGTCCTTTACCTCGCACTCTGAAGGTCCTGGGTTTGTTTCATGGCTGTGCCGTTCTGTTTTGCAGATATCCTTGGGAATCATTGCAGGAGCTATGGAGTTTGTGGTTTGTGTGGCGCTCTCTGCAGGCAATTAGTCATTCTGCTGTGAAAGACTGAGCCATATGGGAAAAAACCTGGTGTAATGAAGCTGATCTTCTCAGCTTCAACCTTTAACTCTATAGGTCTGTGCTGTCATATTGCATTTCTGTAGTTTCTGTTTTACTCCCTCCGCCCATATTTGTCTTGGTCGGCCTCTTGCCTTGTAACCTGCGGTTTTCATGTTGTATGCTCTCTTGGGTACAATAAAGTAATAGATCCTTTTCCATGCCTTCAAGCCTAGTGGGCATATAGGGCAAGACTTATATTTTATAGACCAGTCAGCCCTCGGTGGGTGATGTGGTCAATGGCATCCCTTTACTTCCCAGCACTTTGCCTGGTACCCTTTTAAACTGAATTAACTTGAGAGCGAAGGTCATTTAAAAAAAAAAAGTTCAGATCTATTCAGATTTGAGCCCATGCCCTTCTGCTCCGTTGGCAAGTGACTGGCTGCTACATTACATCTGGTGATAGAGGATATTATCTAATGCAGTAAAATGGATTCTCTCCTTTAAACACCCCTCTAAATAGTGTCCATGTCACAGCTGAGACAGTATGTCTCTCTAAATGCATTCAGTACTGTTTGTTAACATCAACAGATTGGTCGTTTCCTTGGTGAAGTTGACCCACCTGTTTTTGCTTTCATCAATAGGAAATTTTTCCACAGGTGAGTTATAAACTTTTAAATAATAAAAAAAAAAAAAGTCATGACATTTGTTTTTAAACCATTGTTTCTGTATTGACAAATACTAAATATAAATTAGCTATCATTAACTTCTTCTGCAATCGACCTTGAAAAAGGCTATTGAAACGTTGTAGTCCTCAGCTAGGGGGCTATATCTGCACCTTTCAAACCAGCACATCAATTTCAGCAACCCTCAGTTAGCCACCTTTATGGGTCAGTGGAACAGAAAACATGAAGAAGGAGAAAAAGCTGGGGCTACAGAGTGCCATGCACTGCTCTGCGAGAGAGATCAGACCATAAGGCAGGGTCATTGCCAGTTATACTCTATTAATTATCTGTCTATGCTGCAGCTCGGACGATTGGCCCGTGTCGATCCCTATTTCACCATTTTGACGCCTGCGTAAACATAGTTTATCAAACAGCATGTATCAAGATTGGCAACAGAAGGGCACTACTGAGATCGATGCATTATGGCAAAGGACAGGGCACCACTGAGAACAATTAACCTATGATTAAAAGATTGAAAATAATTATACAAACATACCTGGGAACAGTCCAACAATTGCCAAACAGGAATCAAACAGCTAGAATTACTTTCTACTGTTGATCTGAGTTTGTGGCCTGCTGGCAGCGATAGGAGGTAAAGTCCAGATGCTAGTAGTATAAATACCTATCTATCTTTCTGCAAAGTTAAACTCCTCCCCTTCTCTAGTTTCTAACCTACCCTGCAAGAGAGGATCTAAGCCACACCCCAGAGGTACCTTGCTGATCAAATTAGCTATCATGGTGCCTGTCAGTCTCTTTTTGACTGCTGCTACTGAGATCAAACATTCTTAATTGAGCAAATCTAGTCTATAGCAAATCTTACTGACAGGTGTGAAACGCTGGCCAGGGGACGCCATCATGTCTGGAGTTGTCTACCAGACCAACCTGATCTGGTCTGTTCAAAGGGCCCAGTCTCAGTCCGGTTATGTAACATTTATGACACTGGGGTCTGGCTTGCAGTTCATGGGAGATAATTATATGACACTGGCTTGTCAAACGAATCGCTAGATAAGTTAATGTTAGGTAATCTTACCAAGCTTGGTTGCTTTGTCTGGCGAGAGATGGGAAACCAGTTTTAACCCTTTATTAAATCCCATGTGGTTTTTATAACTATTTAGGCTCAGTGCATATTGAATATAATTCTTTGTCTCTTAATGAACATAAGAAATTATTAAACATAATATAACTTCTGAGGCCACTGAGGTCATTTTGTCACAGGCTATATGGCAACAGACAGGACACCACTGAGATCAATGCTATATAGATACAGCTTTAAAAGAGCCAGAGGTTGACCACACAAAGGATGGATAGCAAACAGAAATATCTGAGACACTGAAAAGGATAATGAGTTGAGTTGAGTCAAGAATTGACATCACAGCACTCTAGGCATTCCCATGCATGCTCCGTCCTTATCTTCAGCAGCCAACACAGAGTTCCAGTACTGATGGTACCGGTCACAATCTGGGTAAATGTTGGTCTTGCCTTTCCTCTCAGCGTAATAAGCCAGCCAGACCATCTGGTTACACCCAGATGCCTCATTCTCTCCTGACCATAATAAAGAAAAACTACTATATATGAAGCAAACAGAAATGCTCGTTTTAGAGATCTCTTCCTGCCCTGATGCTGAGAAGCATTCATGGTCTAGAGAAAAGCAAAAGTTAACTTAGTTGAAAAACCCTGCCATAAAGGACAGGACACCTTTGCATGCCAGTGGTGCATCAGGCGTCTAAGGCTAGACATAATTTTATAGACCAGCCGGCACTCACTGGTTGACATAGGCAGCATCACACTGGCCACCTTTACCTCCCAGGAATTTACCTGATACCCTTTTTAGGATGAGAACCTGAGAGCCAAGGACATTTGTGAAAAAAGAAAATAAAACAGTCCAACTTGTTATGGGTGGAGAAAACCCAGATGTGTTAAAGTCAAATATCTCACCTCTAAATATCCAGTAAGTTATAATCAATAAGCTTTTATTAGGAGAATAGAATAGTACCAAATGGGCATTAACAGTTAGTTAAATGTTTGTAGTTGTCAATCTTGTTCTTGGTAGAGAACCTGTTGTGAAAGCAGACAAATTAGAAGTAGTGTAAGTTATTAATTAAGATGTACGTCACTGACAGCATGTGTAGCTTGTTCTTGTACTTCCAAACAGAACTGTCCAGTACGACTTTCAAGCAGCTTGTATTAGAGAGCAAAGCACGAAGAGTGCCGGCTTCAGGACATTGCTCGTTGTGAGTAACAGCAATCAGATTCATTAAAATGATGGGCTTGGGAAGGGGGTTGGGATCTAACGGTGCGCAGTACCTGCACCTGTTTTAGGCGTATTTTTTAATCAGTATTTTGTTGTGAGTACCAGCACTTTTTATTTTAGACACTTTGTTGTAAATACCAGCTCTTTTTTCCTAGAAAAGTATTATTAAAAGCAGTGACTTAACAGTGTAGAAGAATTTAAGAGGATAAGCATGAGAGAGAGAGAGATTAGATTTTCAGTTATGAGCCAAATGTGTCACTGAGATTGCATTCCTCATTTTAGGGGAAGGGGTAGAATAGACCCATCAAAGAGATTAGTTGACTTTTAAAACACACTTGTGAACTAATCTGGGTTGATTTCTTCGATGTCTGTAAGTCTCTGTTGGAGAGGTGTGGAACCAACAGTCTGCTTACAAAAAAGTTAAATCTGTAATCTGTACAATGGATGTACATGCAAAACTCAGTTTTTTTCAAACAGAACTGAAGTCCAGAAGTAGATGAATAACCAGAACTTTCCACTGGAGTTTGGAGCCGTTTAAGGTGAAGAAGAAGATTGTATTGATGTGTATTTGTGGACTATTCCATTGATGACATAACTAACAAAGTCAGGCCCAGAGAGACCATGATTGGTTGTTCATTCATGCATCTTAACCTTTGAGACCCGCTAGTCTAAGCTACAGGAGTGTCAGGTTGTATTGCATCGACGGTGTCACCGGAGATTACGCATGCTCTATATTACGGGATGTGACCACCCCAGAACATCTAGAAACTGGCCCTAACCCCAACCCTATAGGCTCAGCCTACATCCCATGAGAGACTGCACCTTACATGCCATGGTTTCGGAAGTGTTAAAATCTTTTGGTAGCACCATCACATGGTTCTTTGAACCGTGTCTGATTTGAGGGTAACATGCCATGTTGCTGCAGAAAAGCAACGCTCCTCTCCTTGTTGGCCGTCAACAATGACAGTTAAAGTAAATTCATTTTGTACTTGAAGTGCGAGAACATCATTTTCAACAGAATTGCTCAGAACAGCGAGTAAAACACAACGTGTACCTGTCCGTCCGTCGACATATACATAGCAGAACACAACCTGACTGCCCTGCAACTCACACCCGTGTACATCCATTTTACTGGCTTATTTGTGTGCAGGTGGTTGTTCCTTGCTGCTGGGGAAGATGCACTCTGACTTTGAAGGAAGGCCCCAAATTAGTCAACTCCTACAACATGCTTGTTAGGGAGACAGTGGGTCTGTTCTTGTTTTCCCTATAATGGGGTCCCAGAACCCACACAGAGAATTTGAAGGCATGATCACTGGGCTAGAAAAGAAAAAGGCTTGCCAGCTATTGCAGTACTTTTGGACCCCCACTGCACAGAATATCATCATCATCATGTGGCCTGCCAACTGGCAGAGGCGCTCTTGCGTCACCACAGATCATGATCCCTGGTTGCCTGGAACAGCTCTCTTGATGATATCCCTCCATGCCATCATTTCAGCCCATCCAGCATCATCTCTCTTGGTCTGCCTCTACCCCTCCTTCCACTGATCTTTCCAGTTGTCACGATGTTCTCCAATGTCTCTCTTCTCATTATGTGGCCAAAGAACAGTGTGTGTCTCTTTCTTATTGTTGTATATAGAGATCTACTTTCATTAGCTTTTTTCAAACAATCGATTTTACTTACTCTGGCCAGAAACTAAATCTCTGTTGCTTCCAAATTCTTCCAGATTTGTTCACTGACATTCTAAGATTTGCTGCCATACAACAGAACAGGTTCTCTGTAACATTTAAGTACCCTCTTACACACAGGATAATAGCTGTAAATTATTGTTTCCTTAGCCAACTTCGAGTATGCTGTTTGAGCTGCTGAATGTTGCTTGGTGGACCAGCAAAGTTCACTGGTGAGTTCCATCATGAGTGTTGACTCATTTTTTTCCTATTTGTGTATAATCTTTGCTTGTTTGTTTGTTCTCTCTCTCTCTCTCTCTCTCTGTTTCTCTCTCTCTGTCTCTCTCTCTCTCTCTCTTTCTCTGTGTGTGTGTCTGTCTGTCTGTCTGTCGTCTGTCTCATGCACGCATGTGCGCAGCCTCAATTTTCTAAATTAGGCTAATGAGATGTCACAGTAAGGATATGTCATCTAATTTATAGAGTGGTATTTGGGTGTGTTGCCTCTGTAACATAGAAAATTGTGATAAAACAGGCTGATGATTAGTTTCAGATTGTGCTGTTGAATTAATCTTATTCTTTCTTTCTCCTTCCTCTTCCTCCGCCTATTCTTTGTCTTCTTTCTCTTCTATCTCCTCTTATTCTTCCTCCTCCTTCTCTTCTTCTTCTTCCTCTTCTATCTCCTCTTCTTCTTCCTCCTCCTCTTCTTTTCCCTCCTCCTTCTTCCTCCTCCTCTTCTTCTTCCTCTTTGTTCTCTTCTTTTCTTTTTCTATTTTTTTTCTATTCATCATCTTCTTCTTTTTCTTCTTCTTTTTTTCTCTTCTTCTTTTTCTTGCTTCTTCCTTTTTCTTCTCTTGACCCTCTTCCTCCTCTTTCTTTGCTAATTTTAGACTCCTATTCTTCTAATACATGCTATAAGATCAGTATGTAAGTCCCCAGTCTCCTCTAAGACTAGAAGAATCCCCATTCTCTGGGGAAAACATGAAAAGGAAAGCTTGGCATCATGTATCAGTTAATCAGGTTATCTCCTCCGGGTTGCTATAAATGTTTACCATACCACCATTTAAAAATTTCAGTCTGGATGGCAGACCAACAAACAGATCTGAAATACCCTCTTCAACCCTAGATCCCCTGGCCACTCCATGCTGTACCATTGTCATAAGACTGTGATTATCTGTTTTTGCTCCCCCACTGTTCACTCTCAGAGGGCTTTGATAGCATCTAGTTGACATGCATCAGTGTGCCACCAAGTGGTGCAGCACTCTGCGTATTCATTTCCCAACAAACATCTGGGGAAAGTATTTTTTTTAAAGTACTATCTGAAGCTTGCCACTCTACAGGTTGCGTACCTGTCACCACCTTTCTCATAATGCTTTATGTGAGTCTGTTACAATAAAAAGTATCTTATTATTACATTTATAAAGAGTAATTTAAAAGCACTAGGAATTTTGTGAAAGTCAAAGAAAATTAAAACTAATAGTAAACTTACAATTTGTAATTTTAATTTCAAATCATAACTGATGTGTGGAGTGGAAACATGGAGAACAACTCATATAGTCACTTATAAACCACAAGCATAGACACTGGTGCCTATGTAGAAAAGGGGGAAATTAATGGTATGATAGAATCACAGATGTTGAGCTTTGAGAGAGAACTAAACAAATTCCAGTGAATCAAAATGTGAAAAGAAGATGCTGGCGTGGGATAGAAAACACATTGAGAAAACCTGGGAACAGTATAACTAGAAGAGTTTTACACTGGAACCCACAGGTGCATAGAAATAGGGACATACCAAGGAACAAATGGTGAAGGGAGCTAGAGAATGAGGTTAAAAAGATGGGGAGGATATGGGATAGCAAATGATAGGATGAGTTGGTTGCGGGCCTATGCTCCACGGGGGAATAAAGGGCAAAAAAAGACAAGGAAGAAATTCATGGTGAGTTGCTTGGTAGTAAATCAGTTAAAGACTTATGATAGTAAAATATGTCAGTGCTGGTGGATGTGCTGAGCCTGAGGTCTGAGTCAATATTTCCAGAAGGAGCAGTGATGGACATTTGGAAGGGGGAAGCTGGGGTGGCACAACCATGGAGTGACCCGTTTGCCATCAAGCTAAAACCAAGATTACAAGATTAACGAAATAGTTTTGGGGCTGTTTAAATGATTTGTAGAGGAGCAGTTGTCCGAACGGTTGGAACATTGGGCTCTCAAGTGGGAGACCAGGGTTCGAATCCTCAGTAAGGCTGGGGATTTTTTTCTGTCGGGGGCAAAATAAAATCCTCACCTGCACAGTTGTGGCGACAGCACTAGCCATGTGGCGGTAAATCCTGAGGCTCAAAGACCCCCATGCCTACACCGCAAAAAAGGTATAATAAAGAGAGTAATTGGCAGTTTCTTTTAATATATGATTTGTTGCAATTTCATTTCTTCTGCAGGGTTTTCAACAGTTTCAGTTTGTACAGGTAAGATTATTTTCTCAGTTTGGAAATCTAATACTTGATAGTTTGTTAAAGAATTGACTTCATTGTATCAGGGTATTATCCCATTTGTGTTGGCCACTCTCTGCAGAGTGACTGTTACCCACCAAGAACATCACACAAAGCATGGAACTCCATAGCTCTGGTGATGACCTTCAGAGAGAGATCTGAAGGATGGTGATTGAAACAAGACCTGTGGGTTTTAGGCAAACGGCTTAAACACTTACCGTAAAGAATGTTTTTTTTTAATCCAAAAAAAGGAAAGGGTCTTTCTTACTTCAGTGGCGCATCGGATATATAATAAGTAAAGATTCCTTTTCACGCCTTGGGCGCAACGGGCATATTGGTAAACCACCTCATATTTTTACAGACCAATCGGCACTAGGTGGATAATGTGGTCAGCATTATGCCGGCCGTCTTTACTTCTTATCCATCCTGGTACCCATTTTAGGCTGGGTCGACCTGCGACGCCCCATACCATGATAAAAACCCACTCAGCCAGCAGTGGGTAACGATCGCGGTACGTTGGAATTATAATACTAGATCAGATTTTTCTAGACCAATTGAAACTTGAGGGATGATGTGGTCAGCAGCAAGCTGGACACCTTCACTTCTGAGGTCATAACCCCATAAGCTGGGTTGACCAGGAAGCAAATGTCAGTTTTGAAATATAACCTGCTTCCGTGCATATGGAGATTGACTGTTATTTAATGTAAAGGGTATATTGACTGTTCTTTCTTTCAGGTCTCTGACTGTTCTGCCATGATGTTGAGTGTTCTTGTTGTCAGGGTCTTCTCTGACTGTTCTGCCATGATGTTGAGCGTTCTTGTTGTCAGGGTCTTCTCTGATGTTCTGCCATGATGTTGACTGTTCTTATTGTCAGGGTCTTCTCCTACTGTTATGTCATGATGTTGACTGTTCTTGTTGTCATGGTCTTCTTTGACTGTTCTGCCATGATGTTGACTGTTCTTGTTGTCAGGGTCTTCTCTGACTGTTCTGCCATGATGTTGACTGTTCTTTCTTGTTGTTGGTCTCTCTGACTGTTCTGCCATGATGTTGACTGTTCTTGTTGTCAGGGTCTTCTCTGACTGTTCTGCCATGATGTTGACTGTTCTTGTTGTCAGGGTCTTCTCTGACTGTTCTGCCATGATGTTGACTGTTCTTATTGTCAGGGTCTTCTCCTACTGTTATGTCATGATGTTGACTGTTCTTGTTGTCATGGTCTTCTCTGACTGTTCTTGTTGTCAGGGTCTTCTTTGACTGTTCTGCCATGATGTAGACTGTTCTTGTTGTCAGGGTCTTCTCTGACAGTCAGGAGCTTATGGTTCGAGACTTCTTCTTCAGCAGTCACTTAATCCACTATAGGGAATGGGATGTCAGATCCAGGTCTCGTAGGTTTCCCAAAGCTTAGCTGTCAGGTCTGCTGGGTGTAGAAATGAGTTGTTTTGCAAGTCCACAAAGAGAGGACAATCTTGCAGAACATGTGCTAGGGTCTGTTCAACTAGAAGACACTGACCGAATGTCTTTTGAGAGGACTGGAATGTTTTTATAGGATTTTTTTTTTTTAAACAAATTGACTTCAATATAGTACCTCATAGGATTTTGACTTTTTTTTTTTTTTTAAGATAAATAAGGCTTGCATTTAGTGCCTAATAGGAATGTGACTTTTTTAAACAAATAAGACAATAATATGTTGCCTCATAGGATTTTGACTTTTTTTTTTTTAACAAATAAGGCTTTAATAAAAAGCCTTATAGTCACAAGCTTCATATGTTAATAAACAGGACAAAGAATTTTTTTTTAATTTTTTACATTTTTTTATATACAAATATTATTTATCCTCCCACTAACAGTGTTCTGAAATATATGATTTAAGTATTCTGAATTTTTAAAAAATTACTTTTTGTTGTAAACTTGAGGGCTTCAGTTGTTCTCAGATAACTAACTACTTGCTCCTAGGAAAATCTCCAAAACTTGAGGGCTTCAGTTGTTCTCAGATAACTAACTACTTGCTCCTAGGAAAATCTCCAAAACTTGAGGGCTTCAGTTGTTCTCAGATAACTAACTACTTGCTCCTAGGAAAATCTCCAAAACTTGAGGGCTTCAGTTGTTCTCAGATAACTAACTACTTGCTCCTAGGAAAATCTCCAAAACTTGAGGGCTTCAGTTGTTCTCAGATAACTAACTACTTGCTCCTAGGAAAATCTCCAAAACTTGAGGGCTTCAGTTGTTCTCAGATAACTAACACTTGCTCCTAGGAAAACTCCAAAACTAGGGCTTCAGTTGTTCTCAGATAACTAATACTTGCTCCTAGGAAAATCTCCAAAACTTGAGGGCTTCAGTTGTTCTCAGATAACTACTACTTGCTCCTAGGAAAATCTCCAAAACTTGAGGGCTTCAGTTGTTCTCAGATAACTAACTACTTGCTCCTAGGAAAATCTCCAAAACTTGAGGGCTTCAGTTGTTCTCAGATAACTAACTACTTGCTCCTAGGAAAATCTCCAAAACTTGAGGGCTTCAGTTGTTCTCAGATAACTAACTACTTGCTCCTAGGAAAATCTCCAAAACTTGAGGGCTTCAGTTGTTCTCAGATAACTAACTACTTGCTCCTAGGAAAATCTCCAAAACTAGTACCTGGAATGTTTTCTTCCTCAGTGTTGACTCTCTGCCAAAGGGCCTTGACCACATCTAGCTTGTCGTGCATCAGTTGACCACCAAGTGGTGCAGAACCAGCCAGTCTGCTGTATGTTTGTTTCCCATCACACCTGCATGCCCAGGATAACAACAAATTACAGAGGATGCTCACTACCAGAAACATTTGAAGCGGTGCTTGCTACTCTGCATAGAGGATGCAAGAAGCAACTAAGGAGGGCTAAGAACCTCATCAAATAGAAACTTCAGCTGCATTATACAACCAATCATGAAATCATTTACAAAGGACGTGATGTGAGTTGATGAAGGCCCATCATACTCCAATGGGATTTGGGGGTCTCTGTGGCGAAGTGGCCAAGCCGTTTGCCTCATGCTTTAAAAGTTGTGGGTTCCTCTCACGGCTGCGTCGTTCAGTTACCGAGATTCCTGGGGATCGTCCCTGTAGCTACAGAGTTCGTGCTTTATGTGACGCTTTAATCAGATGGCTAGCTGTTCTGCTGAGAGAGACCAAGCCATATGGGATAAAACTTGGTGCAGTGAGATCGATCCTCTCAGCTTTAACCTTTGTTTATGCAGAAAAAGAAAAAAGAAGGAAAGCCATGTTTGCTTTTAAATGTAACATTCTTTAATGCTAACATTATTCTTTATATTTGCAACTCCTCAGTTTGTTCACTCCCTCCAGTACACAAGTTTATGGTAAGTTATGAAGCTTTTGTTAAGTTATGAAGCTTTTGGAACTTATGAAGCTTTTGTTAAGTTATGAAGCTTTTGTTAAGTTATAAAGCTTTTGTAAAGTTATAAAGCTTTTGTAAAGTTATAAAGCTTTTGTAAAGTTATAAAGCTTTTGGTAAGTTATGAAGCTTTTGATAAGTTATGACACTTTTGGTAAGTTATAAAGCTTTTGTTAAGTTATAAAGCTTTTGTTCAGTTATGAAGCTTTTGGTAAGTTATGAAGCTTTTGTTAAGTTATAAAGCTTTTGTTCAGTTATGAAGCTTTTGGTAAGTTATGAAGCTTTTGTTAAGTTATGAAGCTTTTGGTAAGTTTTGATTCTTTTCCTTGTCTCTAGAATTCTATATGTAATATAAAGTAGTTGTTTTAACAGTTGTTCACGTGCACGTTATAGTCTTCAGCTACAGAAATAAGACCATAACATGAGGGCTGATATTATCATAATTAATTGCTGGTGACCATGTCATGTTCTCAAAGTTGTGTTATTGAAACAGTGAAGATCATTCTAAAACACTGTTTAAAATATTACATCCAGTGTTACCCAGCTTTTTTATGCTGACACCTTTAACAAAAAATTTAATTGACATGCAGGTAGGTAGTTTTATCCCTCCAGGATTGTTGTCTGGATTAACACCCCGGAGATGCTGGATTAACACCTCGGAGATGCTGGATTAACACCTCAGAGATGCTGAATTAACACCTCAGAGATGCTGGATTAACACCTCAGAGATGCTGGATTAACACCTCAGAGATGCTGGATTAACACCTCACAGATGCTGGATTAACACCTCAGAGATGCTGGATTAACACCTCAGAGATGCTGGATTAATACCCCGGAGATGCTGGATTAACACCTCGGAGATGCTGGATTAACACCTCGGAGATGCTTGATTAACACCTCGGAGATGCTGGATTAACACCTCGGAGATGCTATATTAACACCTCAGAGATGCTGGATTAACACCTCTGAGATGCTGGATTAACACCTCGGAAATGCTGGATTAACACCTCAGAGATGCTGGATTAACACCTCGGAGATGCTGGGTTAACACCTCAGAGATAAGAATCCGCGTACTCTGCCCCTGCCCATCAGATGTCCCGCAGAAATATCTTATACGAAGCATGTGCATGCATGGTTGTGTGTTGGTATTTAAAAGTAAGTAAGTAATTAAAATGAACAATTCTACTTGTATTGATTGGTACTGGTAGAAAGATGGAAGGACACGCTGGACAACATAAAAATTGAAAGCTGTAGTTACCTTGTTAGAAAGTTTACTTACTGGTTAATTTTGGAATTTTTTTAATACAATTCTACTTGGAAACAATCACTTACTGGTACATTTGTGCACAGTATTGGGTATCAGATTGTGCTTGGCAACAATCACTTACTGGTACATTTATGGAGTTTGTTTTAATACAATTTAGTGTGTGCCACACTTTACATAAGTGCTGAAGGCTGATGACATCTATACTAGACGTTACAGTGATTGAAAGTTACAGGCTTTATTTTATTCTAAGGTTTTATTTTCAGCCAACAGTGATGATGAAGAAGACAAAGAAAAGAAGTGTGTAGAGGCCACGTATCAGTTTTATATCAACAGTACTGTCAGCACTTATGCAGATATGATTGATTGCCAGGATTGTTCTCGGTAAAGAACTTTCATTTACTTTATTAGCATGTCTTCTGATGGTGTTTTAAAATTGTTCTGATCTACCTTAATAAATTTGGCTCGCAATTGATTTATAGCTTTTCATGTGTTTAATAGAATTTCTTCTGTTCAAAATGATGAATTAATGAACTGAAAATTGTCATTCTTTAAGTGTTTCCGAAATATAACAGTTTGAAAATCATAACAAATATAGGTCAAAAGTAAAATATTTGAGAATCATTACACTAGAAGTTTGAGGGATAAAAGTATCACATTGCACTGGAAGTTTAAGGGAGAGCACTCTGAGAACCATTCACTGTGTGATCTAGGGACACAGTTTTGAGAATCATTGAGCAGGGATTAATTCGATTGTTTCTGTAGAATGCCCTGAGATCAAAAGTTTTGAGAATTGTTGCACCAGTTGTAAAAGTAAATTAGTAAAAGATCCCTTTTTACGCCTTGAGGTGTACTGGGTATTTGATGCGAGCCCAGTAAATTTATAGGACACTCAGTGGTGGGTGCAGTCAGTATCATGGTGGCTGCCTTTAACAAAGTTTTTTTGGTCATGAGATGAGAAAAGTAGCACTGAAAAATACTGTGACGACTGGAGAGATCACTGGTAGAAGAGGCAGAGGCAGACCAAGAGATGGTGGAACATACTTTAAGCTGTTTTTTCCTTCAAAATGGAGCCCTGCAACCCACATAAGCAGACTATAATTTTTATTTTTATTTTGGATTTAAGTCATGTTTTATCAAAAGTCTCCACTTCTTTAGGTATTCAAATACTGGACCGGTAGGAAACCCCTATGTTGACTATAGTACCGCAGATCCAATTTTAGAAGAAGGCTCAAAGACAAATGCTTTAGGATTTTTGCAGAAAAAGGCAACATTTTTGTTGTCTCTGTTTTGGGTCATATATCAAAATGAAGGAAAAATGAGTGCAGAATAAATCTAAACTATTTAAATGACAGTATTAAAACAAAAAATATTATTAAAATCACACACATTTCAAGGACGTTAGACACATATGAACCCCGATAGTGACTTTAAGTACGGCAGATCCAATTTTAGTAAAAGGCTAAAAAAAATAAATGCTTTAGGATTACTACAGAAGGAGGCAACATTTTTGTTGTCTCTGTCGAAACTTTTTATCCTCTTAGGCAGTGGTTCCCAGTTAGCTATGACCTGCTGATCCCTCTTTTTTTTTGAAGATCTGCCATTGCCCTGTTCTTTCTTAACTCTTTCAGAACCACATTTGTTTATTGGGTTTGGACAGCATTAATTTTAGTTTTTTTTACTGCAATATGACAAAGCTAAAACCTTTCTGAAGAAAAAGTATTGGTTGTATTGGGACGTATTTCAAAGTGAAGAGAAATGAGTGCAGAATAAATCTAAACTATTTAAACGACAGTATTACAACAAAATATAATTAAAATCACACAACTTTCAAGAATGTTAGACATATGAAGATTATTTTTAAAAAAAAATTGTGTGCTTACCTTATTTTTTTACTTGTTCAGCAACACTGCTACCCATTTCTAAGAATTCATATGCCTTCTCTGTTCAGATATGAACTGCATTAAAAATAGTGGGTTGCAGATTAGGTTCAGAATGTTTTGTACTTACGCAGTATTGTATGTATATTGTCAGTTGTCGTAACTGACACTGAGCTCTAATTCCAATTTGGGACTGTTAGTGTTGGCACATCTGACGGCTGCCGTATGCATTTACCTTACATGTGCGAGCTTGAAGACTTTACTGGGACTGACCTGTTTTTAACTAGTTCTCAAAGGGGACAGTGAGGGACATTTCATGTGATTTCAACTGGCACAGGAACGGAGCAGTTATGGGATGGCCCATGTGCAGTGAAGTTGGAACGACTGGCAGTAGTTTGCATTTATTATTACTTGTTGTCTACCTTAGTGGTTTTGTTTGTTGTCTCTACAGCAACTTTTCAGCTGTGAAACTGAATAGAACTAACCTGCTCTTCATTGTTGTGGATAAAATATGTGATGACTGTGACGCTGCCTACCCAGTCATCTCTCAAGCCCCAAGAGAGGTGAATGAAACGGAGGAGGAGGAAATTGTCTGCCAGTCGGCTAAGAATCCTCGGAAAAGAGTACGAGCTTATGAGTGCCATCATTCTGATCCCAGGGTAGGTCAAATGTATCCTAATGTTGTTTTTTGTTGGATATCATGTCTGGTGTTGGGTATGTTTTTTTAAATTTTTTGGTTATTTTTGTTACATGTCATTCCACCAAATACTGACTGTAAACTGCTCATAAACTTGTGAAGTTATTGAGGTAGTTTTCCTTATGTCTTCAGAAATTAATCATCTCCAACTGCACAGGAGAGCAGGTTACACACAGGTTGGTGTGGCTGTTATGAGTGCCGTAATTATTATTATAGCTTTCTTAGTAGTTGAACAGGGGATCCGGGTTTGCCATGTTGGTCTGCTGTCAGCACTGACCTTCAGGTCCTGTCGGTCTGCCATCCAGACAGATTTTTTTATTTCAGGGTATCAAACTTCTAAGGTAGCTACTCAGAAGGGATAACAAACCCACATGCCTTCAGCAGTCACATGAGAGATTTATATGCTATGTAGATAGATGAAACGTATGGATGAGAGTGTGTTCTATACAGTAGTACTTTATTTTGCAGTTACTTTATTTGGTAACTGTTCTCTTTTTTCTTCTTCTTCTTCTGCCATCTATCTCCCAATGGAGCATAGGCCCTCTGCCAAGGCCATTGTTCTATCCTGTGTTGTTTCATGCAGCTTACCCAGAATACTCCCCCTCTTTTTAACTTCTCCCTTTAGCTCCATTCTTCTTGTGTTTTTGGTCTGTGTTTATTTCTGTACCCCTGTGGGTTTTGGTGCAACAAATTCTAGTTGTACTATTCTTTTGTTTTCTCACCCTGTGTCCTATCCAATGCCATCATCTTTACTTCACCTATAGGTCTACTAAAACTTGTTTATCTCTATCCCAAAGCTCAACACTAATGATTTTATCATACCATTTAATTCCCTCTATTCTGCACAGGCACCAGTTAATGAAAATGTATAGTTTGTAGTTAATTAGTAATTGCCTATGTTGTTCTCTGTGTTTCTGCTCCATACAGCAATACTATTTTGACATTATAATGAAAATTTTAAGTTTAGTATTCCTTTTAATTTCTTTTAACCTTCACAAACTTCCTAGTACTATGGAAGCTCCACTTGCCTTTTGTGTTCATATTTTAAAATCTAGTTCACTTTCCCTGTCTTTACCTACATTAAAGGCGTAATCAAATAAAACTCATGAATGCCAGGCATGATCAAATAAAACTCATGAATGCCAGGCGTGATCAAATAAAACTCATGAATGCCAGGCGTGATCAAATAAAACTCATAAATGCCAGGCGTGATAAAATAAAACTCATGAATGCCAGGCGTGATCAAATAAAACTCATGAATGCCAGGCGTGATCAAATAAAACTCATGAATGCCAGGCGTGATCAAATAAAACTCATGAATGCCAGGCGTGATCAAATAAAACTCATGAATGCCAGGCGTGATCAAATAAAACTCATGAATGCCAGATGTGATCAAATAAAACTCATGAATGCCAGACATGATCAAATAAAACTCATGAATGCCAGACGTGGTCAAATAAAACTCATGAATATCAGGCGTCATCAAATAAAACTCATGAATACCAGACGTGATCAGATAAAACTCATGAATACCAGACGTGATTAAAAAATACTCATGAATACCAGACGTGATCAGATAAAACTCATAAATACCAGACGTGATCAGATAAAACTCATGAATACCAGACGTGGTCAAATAAAACTCATAAATACCAGACGTGGTCAAATAAAACTCATGAATATCAGGCGTCATCAAATAAAACTCATAAATACCAGACGTGATCAGATAAAAACTCATGAAAACCAGATGTGATCAAATAAAACTCATTAATACCAGACGTGCGGAGACAGCAAATATGATCCTAGAAAACTTTGGTTGCTCATTGAACTATTTGCTGACCACTGTCCTAACTTCTGTGTTGTAGAATCAGTGTCCCCTTGAGATCTTATTTCTGAACAAATGAAAGTCACATGGTGATGGATGTAGCCTATTTCCAGAACCACTTCAAAGACAGAATAGTCAGTCAGTTCTGAGACACCTACTATGGTGCAAGCTTCTGTTTTTCTACATCTTTAAGCTCATAGTATTTCTTTATGTGTGTGTATGTGAGTGAGTGAGTGAGTGAGAGAGAGAGAGAGAGAGAGAGAGAGAGAGAGAGAGAGAGAGAGAGAGAGAGAGAGAGAGAGAGAGAGAGAGAGAGAGAGAGAGAGAGAGAGTTAACAGTAATAATAAGGTATTTCCTTTTTTTTTTTTTTTTACAGGAGGACTCATCTGAATGTGGTTGTGCAAGTCTGCAGATTTCATGTTTGTCAGTCTTACTGATAATCATCTCAGTCACACAGCGATGGGCATCGACCATCAGTTGATTGACAGCTGACCTCACCAAGTCATCAGTATGCATGCAACTATCACCAACGATTGCCTCATTGGAAACCGATAGCAGATTTCTTCAGGCCAAAAGGCTGATAATAATAATAAATTAGTTCTTAGATATGGCTTTGAGTGGATAAAACAAGGGTAAAACTGCAGGAGGATAACATTGCGTACACTGGTCTCTAATGTCTACTTTCTCCTTGACTTCCAAGAGTTGTAAGCTAATACCTGTTGAATGTGTTAGTCCTGTTACTTTGTCTCCTTGACTCAGACTGTCATTGCCTAGACCTTGACTGTCATTGCCTGAGACCTTGACTGGCATTGCCTAGACCTTGCTGTCATTGCCTAGACCTTGACTGTCATTGCCTAGACCTTGACTGTCATTGCCTAGACCTTGACTGTCATTGCCTAGACCTTGACTGTCATTGCCTAGACCTTGACTGACATTGCCTAGACTTTGATTGTCATTGCCTAGACCTTGACTGTCATTGCCTAGACCTTGACTGTCATTGCCTAGACCTTGACTGTCATTGTCTAGACCTTGACTGGCATTGCCTAAACCTTGACTGGCATTGCCTAGACCTTGACTGTCATTGCCTAGACCTTGACTGTCATTGCCTAGACCTTGACTGTCATTGTCTAGACCTTGACTGGCATTGCCTAAACCTTGACTGGCATTGCCTAGACCTTGACTGTCATTACCTAGACCTTGACTGTCATTGCCTAGACCTTGACTGACATTGCCTAGACTTTGATTGTCATTGCCTAGACCTTGACTGTCATTGCCTAGACCTTGACTGTCATTGCCTAGACCTTGACTGTCATTGCCTAGACCTTGACTGTCATTGCCTAAACCTTGACTGGCATTGCCTAGACCTTGACTGGCATTGCCTAAACCTTGACTGGCATTGCCTAAACCTTGACTGTCATTGCCTAGACCTTGCTGTCATTACCTAGACCTTGACTGTCATTGCCTAAACCTTGACTGTCATTGCCTAGACCTTGCTGTCATTGCCTAGACTTTGCTGTCATTACCTAAACCTTGACTGGCATTGCCTAAACCTTGACTGTCATTGCCTAGACCTTGACTGTCATTGCCTAGACCTTGACTGGCATTGCCTAAACCTTGACTGTCATTGCCTAGACCTTGACTGTCATTGCCTAGACCTTGACTGTCATTGCCTAAACCTTGACTGGCATTGCCTAAACCTTGACTGGCATTGTCTAGACCTTGACTGTCATTACCTAGACCTTGACTGTCATTGCCTAGACCTTGACTGTCATTGCCTAGACCTTGACTGTCATTGCCTAGACCTTGACTGGCATTGCCTAAACCTTGACTGTCATTGCCTAGACCTTGACTGGCATTGCCTAAACCTTGACTGGCATTGCCTAAACCTTGACTGTCATTGCCTAGACCTTGCTGTCATTACCTAGACCTTGACTGTCATTGCCTAAACCTTGACTGTCATTGCCTAGACCTTGCTGTCATTGCCTAGACCTTGCTGTCATTACCTAGACCTTGACTGTCATTGCCTAAACCTTGCTGTCATTGCCTAGACCTTGCTGTCATTGCCTAGACCTTGCTGTCATTACCTAAACCTTGACTGGCATTGCCTAAACCTTGACTGTCATTGCCTAGACCTTGACTGTCATTGCCTAGACTTTGACTGGCATTGCCTAAACCTTGACTGTCATTGCCTAGACCTTGACTGGCATTGCCTAAACCTTGACTTTCATTGTCTAGACCTTGACTGTCATTACCTAGACCTTGACTGTCATTGCCTAGACCTTGACTGGCATTGCCTAAACCTTGACTGTCATTGCCTAGACCTTGACTGTCATTGCCTAGACCTTGCTGTCATTACCTGCAGCATGTAAGACTATAAAGTTGCAACTAGAGTGATCACTCTTGTGGCAGTTCCTATTTATTTATCAAAATGTCATGTCGTTGCTGTAGTGATATGTTTAAAACTCAACTTTTGTGTTTTTATTTTACAAATTGCATTTCATATTTTTCAGCTGTCACTCTAGTCTTTGAAGCCATCAACCTCTTAGAACTTAACTTCTTGAATGTGTCATATGTGTAGGGTGACCGACCATCAACCTCTTAGAACTTAACTTCTTGAATGTGTCATATGTGTAGGGTGACTGACCATCAACCTCTTAGAACTTAACTTCTTGAATGTGTCATATATGTAGGGTGACCGTTCTTCAAATTGGCACTCCTTTTTTTTTTCAGGTGTGCCCCGGCCGTCACATCAGTACTCCAGGAGGAAAAAATTTCCATTTGCTAAAAATCTTGAAATAAGTTTGAGAATAAAAGGGTGTGCACAACCCTTACTTCCGATGCAGAACCTTGACTTTCAATGCACAACCCTCACTTCCAGTGCACACCCCACACTTCAGTGCACAACTCTTACTTTCAGTGCACAACTCTCACTTACAGTGCACAACCCTCACTTCCAGTGCACAACCCTCACTTGCAGTGCACAACCCTCACTTGCAGTGCACAACCCTCACTTCAGTGCACAACCCTCACTTACAGTGCACAACCCTCACTTGCAGTGCACAACCCTCACTTTCAGTGCACAACCCTCACTTCAGTGCACAACCCTCACTTCAGTGCACAACCCTCACTTCAGTGCACAACCCTCACTTCAGTGCACAACCCTCACTTCAGTGCATAACCCTCACTTTCAGTGCACAACCCTCACTTCCAGTGCACAACCCTCACTTCCAGTGCTCAACTCTCACTTCAGTGCACAACCCTCACTTCCAGTGCAAAACCCTCACTTCAGTGCACAACCCTCACTTCAATGCACAATCCTTACATCCAGTGCACAACCCTCACTTTCAGTGCACAACTCTCACTTTCAGTGCACAACTCTTAGATGTTGTGTGTGGTTTCAGTCTGCTTATCTAAGATTAATTTTTTTTTTTTTTTACATTAGCATACATCAGCAGTGTCTTCCATACATGTTTTGATTTATCTGCTTGATAGGGTTAGAGTTGATTTCATTTTTAAAGTACATTCATAAATGTTCTCTGGTGAATATTGTTAAACTGAAGAAAATGTTTACTCTTAAAAAAAAAATGCAAGTGTCTTAAAAAAAAAAAACTAATGAAAAGGTTACTATAATTGTGTTTGTGTGTGTGCGTGAAGGTGCATGCATGCATATTTTTTAGGGGTTTTTTCGATAGAGGTTTTTTAAATCATATTTTGCTTTCATTTAAGTCATTATCAATGTGACTCATTTTTCAGCAACGTAGTTTGTTTATGTATACGTTATTGTCTGCATCTGTATAGATAGTATAGATCTGTGTGGTTTGGTTGTACTGCTGCTGAATTTAATGAGCCCAGTGTACCTCTGCAAAGGACTGGAAATTATTACATCACAATTTTTTTTGAATATATGTTGAGATATTTCCAGGTTTTTAGTTGGTGGACGTCAATTGGTTTGCTTTTGACAGCTTTCGTATTGTAGTTTTCCTTTGTATCTAGTTAGTCTATTGCCATACGCCCCATCTCTGGTAAAAGTTCACAATTTAATTAGTTATTTGCTAACCATGACTTTAACTTTTTTTTTTTTTTGCTATTTTATTTTTAAAGTCATTATGCTTTGTTTATAAAGTTATTTTTCTTTTAAACTTTGTTATCACAGCTGTCTGCTTTTTATAGACCAGTCAGGGGTCGGTTTTTTTTTTTTTAACCTTCTCATCTGAATACGGGCCGAGCTGAAGTGCTAGCACCTTCCTTAATTCTTAACTAATTACATATGATAAGCTGATCATTCCCTTCCTCGTTGCTATTTTTGCCCACAAAGTATTAAACAGTAGTGTGTTGTAGTCAGTGTTTTTCAGACATGTTATGACAAGGTAGAGAATTGGTGATGACTGACAAGACTGGTGAGAAAAGAGCAAAGGAAAAGCAAAGAAATGAATACCTGGATGGCTTAACCATGTGGGTGAGATGGGGGAAGTGACCTCATCCATTACACAGCACATGATGATGATGAAAGCCTGAAAAAACAAAGGCTTTGCCAATACCATTTGGTTGTATCACCATCACTGTGCTGGGGGAAATGAGAAATCAGTAAAGTTGGTTAAAAGTTGGTTAATAGAACGAAATCATACTAGTTATGTAGAATGTACATATAGTTTAGTTGACTTTGTAATTATGTATTAGCCATTTGATTGTGCCACCAACACTATGCTGGGAGAATAAGAAACCAGTTTAGTTGGTTAACTGAAGTCAAACTTGTTGTGTAGAATGTACATATAGTTTAGTTGACTTAGTATTTATATATTAACCATTGGATTATATACTGCCAACACTATGCTTAAAACTGAAGTCAAACTTGTTGTGTAGAATGTACATATAGTTTAGTTGACTTAGTATTTATATATTAACCATTGGATTATATACTGCCAACACTATGCTAGAGGAATGAGAAACAAGTTAGGTTGGTTAACTGAACTCAAAACTTGTTGTGTAGAATGTACATATAGTTTAGTTAAATTAGTATAGTCTGTTCTGGAAGTCGTGCTCAGCTTTAAAAATCAGTAACTCACTAACCACTCGGTGTAAGCTGTGGAAATTTGGCATGCAACCTGTTTATAATAACCGTGTCCTTGTTAGATATTTTTTTTTCAACTTAAACAAACATCTAGTTTTCTCTTTGCCTTATTACTGTATATGAAAAACAAACACTGATTCAGAGCAGACGGTCAGCATGCTTACAGTTAACTGAGTAACAGTAACCTTTCAAAACATCAGATTGAACGAGTTTCATAGGCGTTTCACTCAGAGACAGATTATCTCCAGCCATAACCTCCTGTAAGGTAGGCGAACACAATTTTTCATTGTATGCAGGATAGGTTATCAAAATAATCACCACACATAGCTGCATGTGTGAACTGATTTCCAGACAATCTCCATTTCACCACACTTAGCTGCATGTGTGAACTGATTTCCAGACAATCTCCAGTG